CAAGGGCTTGTATTGTTGATCGGTGCTAATTATACAGACAGAATTGTCGTTGATTGATGTTGATTGCATAAGTAAGTCAATTGCTGTAGGAATATTTCAGGCGTAAGGTGACAACATCAGTAAGGTATAAAAGGAGGGGATGGGTGGGGTCAGGGGCATCGGTGTTTTCCAAACTTTTTTACACAATGATAAATACGTACGCTTCCTACACTTACTACAACTGCTCATTGGAAATAACTTTAAGCAGGTACTCAAAGAAGTTATAAACTGTACAGATTTATTTCTGAGTTACATTCCTATAAGATACACATTGAAAATGTGCAGTACGATTCGGTTAAACTCTTTTCGCAATGGTGTAGTCTTCCTATTGAGAAATGCGGATTTTAGGACACATGGGCGTTCACTGCGCTAAGAATCCTTTCACAGAAGCCTCCTCAATGATAAACCATTATATATAAGATTAAAACGCCTCTGATTTGAAAGCACTATGTAAGCGTTAACAAATCCGCAAAGCAATGGAGAAATTACTCCGATAGCTAAGCGTAATTTGCTACCCGTTGATTGGTACACCAAATGAAAAAGCCCTTCTAAAAACAAAAATTATTGCTGATTCTGTCTTTTTCAATCTATCTGCTAAATACAAAAATCTGATGGAAAAACTGTACCCGGCGGAAAGACACTGAATAGCATGTGCTTTGAGAATCATGCAAACGATCCACAAAGCGATAAGAAATAAAGGCGAAATTGCCTGATAAAACGTGGATTGATCTCAAATATTGTTCGCAATGAGAAATCAACTGCTTACAAAATGCTCAAGTCACGCAAAATATGGTGCCTATTAGGACATACCAATTTTTCTAAATTCAAAACGTAATGTGCAAGCGATAAAGTTCCGATTACTCCTCCACCCCATTAAAAACTTCTCAACGAAAATACTATGTGGACAATTTCCCACCACACTTGAATCCGATGATGTATTCGAGTACTCAATAGTTGAAACATCAGCATTGTCAGTCTAAAAGAATTCAACATATCTATACTAGCACAACAAATAAAACGGTGATAAAATCTTGTTAAAAATAAACTAGATTTCCTAAGATAAATCCATTGATACATAAGTGTAAATATACACTGACATATACTGTGAGGGAAGAGTGGCCGAGTAGCTAAAGGTAATGCTGGTTTCACTTCTTACTTTTAACTCTCTGCATCTATTTTAAAATTCCATAGACAGGAGCGATTTTATATCCGCAAAAAGGACGGACAAACGCTCGCAATTTTCGATGATGGAATATTTTACGAGAAAAAGTGCCTAATTAAAGTGAAAAAGGCGAAAAAATTCGATGGTAGGGAAAAATAGGTATAAAAAATTCCGGAAAGAAGTGTTCACACACGCCTATTTTTAGCCCAGACTGCTTTAATCTATGGAATTCTGGGGTACATGGGAATTCCTTATTCCAGTCATCTTCAAGATTGCAAAAATGCTTGACTCGTCCGATATAAGGATCAAAGTAGCGCTCGAAACAACACGGAAGATATTCGAAGACCATTGGGACGATGACTGCGAAGAAGGAAGTCGACAGCTGGAAGTATAAGGATCCGTGCAGTAGAGTGATAACGGATCGTGCAAATAAATTCTGCAAATCCTTCGTTTCTTCGCACCCCATCATGCACGCATATTTTTGAACTTGTGCAATAGTTTCAAGACCAATTTAGCACCACATTCCTGATTCTGTTTATGGGAAAGGTTTGATGAATTTCAGAGAGAACGGCTTAACTCCTATTTCCTCCCTATCCTCTAAACACCTGTTTTTCCCGGATGACTGCACTAGAATATCCCGAGGCTATCGCTAAATGGACGAAAGCCCAGATATTTTCCCCTTCCTGGTGAATTGCTAATATGTGAAAAGCACGACACTGCGTTCCTGGAACAAGTGGATTTCAGTAGACACCACAACAAGGACACAAGCGTTGAAGTACACTGGACTGGATAATACGACGATTTTCAATATTACATATAATACTAGCACCAAATACAACAAAAGGATTCAACAACTTACATCATCTAGTTCTATCGTGTCTTGACTTGTTCCGGTCGTCCCTTCAATAAGGGTCAAGCCACCAGTTGATTCGTCGTCACTATCGAACATTCCTTCGATATCTTCAAAGGGAAAAATTTTACGGATGACGAGTATAAAATGGAAGGTTCAATTCTGCACTATCAATAGTCGCGCTTTCTATTATAACCGTGTGGACGGTGTTATGGCAACATAATGATTTGAGCGATTAAAAGTCGAGGCTATGGCGTTTGACTCATTAGAGGTTCTGCCTTTTTATAAAAATTTAAATTCAGGGCATCTTCTTCCAAAAAGAGGTAATCTAGGATATTTTCTTCCGCGGAACTCTCCATCAAACAATCAGATGCTGCTCCTCTCAAGTCATGAACTTTTTTTGAAAGCAATCTACAGTGGGTATATCACATATAAGGCAAGTAGAATTGCCACTGTCTAACGTTGAAGCACACTCGGAATCGACTGTGACCGCGAATGTGTTAGAGCAAGTTTGAGAACTACAATTTGAGAAAATAAAATACCACTAAGCTAAAATTCTGTGAGAGGACCAACGCTCATGATTGCTATCAAAATTGAGATTAGAAAGAGAAAGAGGAGAATATGATTTAAAACGATACCTCAATAAAGAATAAAACTGTGACACTAGTTATTAAATATCTAAGCAAAACTCACATTTTGCCCTCCTCATGAGCGTGATGAGCCTCTTTATTTCGACTCCTTTTGACATGAATCAATAACTTTTTTAGTAAAGTGTATGCACTAGAATAAAAGGAGCAACTTACAAATATCTCCACTAACAAATAAAAAGATGACCTTTCTAAACGTTTAGAACTTATATACACAGAAGGAAAAACTTTTACATCAACAATAAACTGGTCATAATAATTAATGACTCTTAATGTACGGCACGTACAGTACAGCAAACTTAGACAGGATAATTAGAGTGCTTTGAAATCAATTTGTTAGGTCCATGAGCAACACTAGGCCGTTTTCCATCCTATAGACCGAGAACTAGAACGATGACATCAAATACCACAGTCATAGCTGATCAATTTCGAATTAGCACATCGGAGTTTTTTACCAATAGCCTCAATTGTTTTCCTTCAGCAATTCCAACTCGTATCAAGATATGGGCACTTTTTGTGACTCTATCGCTCTCCTCATTATTTTCCCCAATTTTCGGTAAAAAACTATCGTTCATTACCCTGCAGTACCGAAATTCCTTTCGACATTCTCTCTGTCTGTGCACATTTTCAATCTTGATTTGAGTGAGGAAAAATAGCGTTCGCAGAAAAATAGATAGCATAGATAGTCCCATAAATAAACGCAGATTACGGTAGAGTTTTAAAGATCAAACAAAACTATTTTTATCTAACCGCTTCAGCGGTGATAAGATTTCATAGATATATTCAGTGATGCAGAGTGATGTACAAAACTTGCGGCTGACAGATAGATGCGCTGTTGCGTAGAAAGAGTTGTGTGCAAAACGGGCGTCAGTATTGCAACGGGCTAGAGCACACGCTCCCGGGGATAGAGTGAGATGTGGGTTCAAGTCCCGCCTGTGGCAACAGTTTTGCACATCACTCCACATAACTGGGTATATAGTGGAGTTTTCGGAAAGGTAAATCATTAATACACATAAATGAATGATTGCTTCACCTCTTTCAGGGACCACTTTCACTCTTCGGCGTACGAGTCGCCCAGCCCTGTCATCGGGCACGTTCAGCCCTTCCTGAAAACCGAAGTGCTATAGTCGGCTGTTCTGCTGAAGAGAAAAGTGGTGCAGATCAACCACGACGATATCACTCACTGCAATGCATTAATGTCTATTACGACTACAAAACTTCAGTATTACTCACCGGTCATCAGAAAGACGCCGTCTCACGTCGGCAAACGCCGATCGAACCGACCGCCATCTGTCAGCAGATACTAAAAGAATGACTTTGAAGAATGATAAAAACTTGTTCTAAGCCGGCATTATAGGAACATCGTGTGTTCCTTTGGAACGGACATTGCGCGCACACTCACCTCGTTTTGCGCTGTGAGGGGGCGCTTGGCCCTAGCTTTTCTCATCATCCTCCGCCTTCCTTTTTTTTGATTCCGTTGGATTGCTTTTATGCCATTAGTTTATTGTGGTATAATAATAATGTCGAGCAAGGCTACATATGATTAGGTACTCAGAAGTTTCGGTACTGGAGCAATCACCAGATTTTTGGCCGGAAGTAATTAGAATTGCTAGACAACGCTGTTCGCTCAAAAACTATCCCTTTATCATACATCACCATCAACGAAAAGTGGGTTTTTTTTTTCAAAAGGCAGGTCAATGGTTGTCACCAGGCCAACGGGAGACTCCAGCTCCACGTTCAAAATGCTTTGTGCGAAAGGCAATGCTCATCACTTTTTGGGACCGGAGCGGGCCGATTCACTGGAACTTGCTGCCAGCCGGAGAGATGATTAACGTCAACCGCCACTATGAGCACCTGCATCGCCGAAATCTCATCGTGCTTCAAGACAACGCAAGGCCGCATGTCGCCAAATTGACAAAGAGGAAGCTGACCGTACCAGGCTCAGAGTTGCTGGATTATCTGCCGCACAGTCCTGACTTTTCGCCGTCTGACTATCATCTCTTCCGGTCGCTGGACTACGTCCTGAGCAAGAAGAAGTTCTGAGACATCAATCATTTGCGTCGAGGATTGACAGCATACTATGAACCAAAGATGATGAGTTCTATAAGCGCGGTATTGATTTGTTGCCTGAGAGATGGCAGAAATGTGTTCAGGTTGATGGTGCATACTTTGGATAGAGTTGATAAGCAATTTCAATTGATTTTGGTCAACAGATTTAGTGTTTACTGCTACTCTTCCAAAACTCATGAAAAATAATACACATGAGATGTGTCCAACAATGTAGAGTGCTGCAAAAAACATCTGCGTCAGCCGGGATTCGAACCCACATCTCACTCTTTCCGGGAGCATTTGCTGAACCGTTGCACCACCGGCGCACCGACCCGGGTTTGAATCGCAGCTGCCACAAATGTTTTTACGCAGCACTCTACATTATTGGGTATGTTAGAAGATCATACCACGCAAGATGCGGTCAAATAAATGACTTTCGAATGAGATGTGTACTGTGCAAACACGGAAACGATGAATGTGAAACATAATTTTATTTCCGATGCCACAGTGCAAAAAAAGGTTTTGTAACCAAGTGAGCACAAAATTTCTAGTGTTTTTACTGCCTATTTCGCAGTGTTATGACGTTTCATATATACTTGAGAAAATCGAGTAGTAAGGAAAAATACAACCTCAGACTGGAAGTGGTACGAATTTACCTCGGTGCTGTAGTGGTAGCACGCGTCCCCGATATGGATGAAACGCAGGTTCGACTCCCGTTTGATGTCGATTTTTGATCACCACTCAGTTCTTGTAGGTATATATGAAGCATCTTAGCACTGCAAAATAGGCAGTAAAAACACTAGAAATTTTGAGTATACTCATCATAATGGCTGTCAGCTCAACTGGATTTACAAAGCGATATCGTATACTCTACCAAAACAGTTAAAAGTTGGTGGCTGACAGCTAACATATTGTTGCTGAAGAATGAGTGGTGGTGCGAATTTGTCTCGGTGGTGTAGTGGTAGCGTCTCCGGTATGGATAAAACCCGGGTTCGACTCCCGCCTTAGGTTGTATCTGTGCTCATCACTCATTTCTCTTATATATATATATATATATATATATACATATATATATATATATATATATAAGAGAAATTAAAATTCTTATGATTTAAGGTGTCTAATGCCTATGAAGGTCTAGAGAAAAGGCTTTTTCTGAACGAGCTGTAACAGCATGAGGGAAACGGAAATGATTCGATCTTTTTAACTAATAACAACACTGACACTGATAATAACACTTAACTAATAATAAGAGCACTCCTTCGATGAGCAGTTGAAGATAATCTGTGATTCTGCTTAATGACGGAGACAAAGCCGAACCATTATATACGGATCACAAAAGTTCATCAGAGAAGACCATACATTCTCATGGTCATCAATGGAGATTTTGACGTGAAAGCTGGACTTAGAAGAACACCTGAAGAACATCATATTGGGAACCATGGTCTAGAATATGGAAACTACAGGGTAATAGGCTATAAGTTTATCATGACGACTAAAACCATCCATGACAACTCACATTTTCAAAAGCCTCACTTCCAGCGATTGGTCTATGAATCTCACAATGGAGAGTAGCGCAATAAAATATATTACATTTTAGTGAGTCTACTGCTGCGCCTAATCGATATTATTGTTGTTCCCATATTTTACACGGGAACAGACTATTGCCTCTTTCGCGAAACCTTAGTTTTTCCGTGAAAAGGATAAACTGAAGAACGAGTACTATGAACCACATTCACACAATCGTACGACTCATTAAAGCCTCGCAATATCAGCTTATTCACTGCCATCCTCCATAATGTCATGTGAACTTTAGAATGGGACAATATGGGAGTTAAAGCGACGGTCGACAATTGAACCTCCTTTGCTTGGCTGATTACTTTGTCTTTATGGCACAATGCACGTTGGCTGGAATGCTGACCGATTTCGAGAGCGCCCGTGGAAAGATTGAAATTAAAGTTTTGATTCATCAATGTTCAGAAATCAAGAGATGAGTTTCATAAGCCAAGGTAAGACCATCGACCCGATAATCCGATTCGCTCACGAAAACCATAGGAGAAAGATATGATGCCCAACGAATTCCTAAAAGAGGTGCAGCCCACTGGAGTATTTTTGTACGTGATAGAGAAACATGGAAGTTTTACTGGTGCCGACCCGACACGACGATCAAGGGAACAACAAGTGATGCAGGTGATAGCTTGCTTTTTGATAAAGGATAAAGGATAAAGCTCTCGGCGTTAGTCAATCCCTGAAAGATGCGCCATGCATTCGACTTCAATTTTTTACTTCGTTTGATGTGATTGAATGCACATCTGGCCTTTACAATGACTCGCGGTGGCCTCCCGATGAACCGAATCAGTGCTGCTTATACAAGTCTGAGACCTGTCTGGTACCAATTTACCGACCCCGGAAGAATGGATGGCTTGGTGAGCCATGAGCGCGAGATCAAACCAGTGACCTCGTGTGCGACGCAGGGCACCTCTAACCACTGCGCCACATGCGCTCTAGTTTTTTGATACCACGAGCGAATTGTCGTTTAACGATGCTCGTTACTACCTCAACATCAAGAACTCTAGCCCGAGTAAAGTCGCCGAGTATGAAACTTAATTCTATTTTTGCTGCTACAGAGCATTAGAGTGTCCTCTCAGAAAACAAATAGATTATTAAGGTCGCCAAGATTTAGCCTATCGATTGATTAATAAAAATCTAAAAAAAGGCGAAAAGGTTTTGTCCCTGGTGGAATAAAAATGATTGGAGAAACGGAATTGCACCAAAGATCAAACTCTGACATTGTCACTTCTCATTTGAAATATTTGCCGAAGGCTTAGGTTTTTTAGCGGAAGCCGCTGCCAGAACAATTAAACAGTCGGGGAAAAATGCTCATTTACCATACTTGGCAGTTCAAAGCACTTTGAAAACGGTGGTTCTCTCCAATATGGTGACAAAACAACAAATATTTAGATAAGTACACAATAAACTAGCACTCATTGCTCCTCCCTATTTCTGCGTCAAGTGGTGTCAGTGGAATTCCGTCGTTGGACGCTGAAGGGGACCTTCCCACCATTGGCGTTCCATTATCTGCATTTAATCTGACGTTACATTTCATCTGCAACGAAGCCTTTGCGTTACGATTCTCAAAAATCGAAGTACGCATTTGTAATTCTGGAAAACGATATCCCTGCGTTATCGACGCTGGAAAACAGGAATGCGCTATGGTGTACTGATTTTTTGGCCAGTGAAAGCATGAAAGAAAACTCCAACACAAATTCTTGGCAATTTTTGCGATGCCTCAACCATATAATTCTGTCGTATTTGGAGCAAGATAGTTAGAGAGGGACTTTATCACATCATTGATTTTGGTGAGACGTTTTTCTGCCAAAGGATATTGCAGCGACATGAAAAGATATAGTCACATTGAACAGCATCTGGACTATACGGTGGGTCAATCAAACGTCCCCACCTGATTCTTCAATCTTTTGCAGGGTCAGACGCGCAGTATGTGGACAAGCGTTATCTTGACGCCATTTTGATTAAGCTGTCGCAGCCGATTTTGACAAAGTTTTCCACATACGCGGTCAAGTTCAGACGAATATGGTGTAGTTCGTAAATCAACGGCCTTGTGGTTAAGTGATTTACATGAGTTTTATTTCTCTTCGGTGGCAGAATATCCTAAGCGGAACATCAAAAAAATGTTTACTAAGTTGTCAAGTATTCATTTCAAAGGTGAAAGAAAATTTTGCACAGTTACGCAAAATAAGATGGATTACGTAATTAGAATTGGATCAGTAAAGTGACGGTAAACATAATTATCCACTATGTCTAATATTATGTGCAACTATTACAGCCGACAGTTATCATCGACACATCGACAGGATGCGGAATTGTCTATAGTAGGCAAAAATGAGTAAAATCAATCCTCTGGCACGGCAGGCCCGAGCAGCTGTCAGCCGATAGCGCAATGTTGAAAACGCACGAAGTTTTAGTAGTTTTTCCTTAACTCGCGCACAGTAGCTCATATAGCACATCATGTCTTCCCATCACATCTGAGACAGTAGAAGTACTATGTCTGTCGTGTCCGTAACTTTCACGCCGGGGATGAGCAGATTTGTGCAAGCATCGCCTTTTTAAAGCAATTTCTCAGACCCTAAACACGTTTTCAAACCTTTCCTATTTTGTAAGGCTAAAGAAGAATGGCAAGCTAGAGAAAGGAAAGGACTTCGCGTGTCTTTATTGACTACTGATTTGTAAGTATATACAGATTTCATAACGCGTTTCAGTTTTACTACAGTGACACGATTTGAATTTCAGCTAGAGAGACAAAATTGACTGTATTCACGAATATTCAAGAGCAAGATCAAAAAATTTGATTTCATGAAATAACACTGACCTAATTCTTGCGAGGGGACTAATGATATGAATGCCATCAAAAATTGATATTCGAATGAAACGTAGAGAACATGATCGAAAATGGTACCTCAATCAAAAAAAAAAAACCTATGACAGCATTTATGAGATATTTCAGTAAAACCCACTTTTCGCTCTCTTGATAAGCTCCACGGTCTTCTTTTTTTAATTTGTTTTGATCTGAACTGAGTCTTTTTGGTAAAAGGTATACAGTAGAAGAGAAAGAGCAACGCATAATTTTCTCACGGACAACTAAAAAGATGAAAAGGTTCTTATGTATTAGACGGCAACAAATGATTATTCGACTCTATTCGTTGGACAAGAACATTTCATAGAAGTATCAGCAATCTACCGAAGAAACGAGCGTCGGTGGTGCATCGGTTAGTATCCGCTACCGGAAAGAGTGAGATCTGGGTTCGAATCCCGGCTGACGCAAACGTTTTGCACAGCACTCTACACTATTGGGTATACTGTACCATCATAACACCGCAAGTGACGGTCAAATGAAATCATTTCTGATAACAGCAATCTTTCGAAAGCTTAAATTTCTGGCTAGCGCAGCATGTGGCCTGTTTTTCAGAAACCCCTTTATATCGCTATCAAATTCAAAATCTCCGTGGAAGAAGAGTTCACGAAATAAGAGAGCCTAGAATGTTCTATTTGAAGGCTCACAGAAAAGTATTACATCACCAAGAATCACTGCAGCTCCTCAATAAAATAACATTGATGAACCATGAAGATATTGAAAAGCTTTAACACGGCTATCTCCTCAGGAAAAAATTTTTTTTCCAACAAACACATGGTTGTCATATGGAAATTGTGGTAGCAATATGCGGTATGCGCTATGATATATGGTAATTATTCGCGATTTACGAATGTGGATCACTCGACCGTTCAAATTTGAAATAACTGACCTTTTTCT